AGTGTTGAGAATTCTCCAGTAACAGAACACAATAACAACAAAGGGAATGAAGAAGAACAAAATGTTTTGCTGGTAACACCCCAACAGTTGCCACATTTGAGTACTTTCGGGTGGATAGTTACTGGTACAGTATAGTCTTTCCTCCTCATTACCCGTAATATCAGAGAAGATCATCTCAGGGATCGTTGCTGATATACTAATTCCCCAAATGACTAAACTGGCTGTCACAGCATAGGAGACCTTCCTGAATCTGACAGCAAACAGAGAGTGAACTACTGCAAAGTATCGGTCAATGGTCATCAGCATGAGAAGCATGATCCCACTGTAGTAGCCAATGAAGAAAATTGAACTCATTATTTTGCACATGGCCTTGCCAAAGATCCATCCATTCGTGTGATCGACAGCCCAGAAAGGGAGCGAGAAAGTGAAGAGTACATCGGAGGTGACCAGATTTAAAATGAAGATGTCTGTCACAGTCCTCAGCCTCTCATATCTCACCAGGACCCACAAAACTAGAGCATTTCCAATCAGGCTGAAAATAAAGGCGAGGCTGAACAAGACTGGTGTAAACATGGCTCCAAATAAATTAACTTGAGTATTCTCGCATAAATGAACAAACTGGCTGTAATCTAGCGTTATGTTAAATTGATCATAATCATAGTGATAATCTGAATAATTTGAAACAGACTCTCCCATGGCGTATTTTCTGTGATCTTAACACAGAAGAAATTCTGGTTTGCAGTGTAGTGGTTGGCACAATAAACTATGGAGAAAAAAAAAGTAAAGATTTACATGTAACACACTTTAAAGCAGCACAATCAAGAATAAAGTTAAAGGTTATTTCATCATAAGACCTCTGCCTTGTTGTTAGTTTGAAGAAGTGCAGGAGATGCACTGGTGCAGGGCAAGCCCCTTTGTTCTACTCCGATTGGATGTTCTGTGAAAGTAGAAGTGAAAGCTGTGCCCATTAATTGTGGCTTAACTGGAAGCTTGGTATTTATTGAAACTCCCTTTACATTTTGACTCATTTCCTCTCCTCATACCCAGCAGTAAGAGTCATTCCTGTAGTCTGTGAGTGTGCCTTTACACACACAATATTGACTTTGATGGAAAGACAACTGCAGTGACTGTATAGTTGGCAAAGATCTACAAGAGTTAGTTTTACACTGGTGCAGAAGGTGAAGGTGTTGCCCACTAACTGAACGAGTTCAATAATCCGTGGAGCATTGGGTTCTGCGTCAGGAAGCACTGAATATTACACTTGGTGCTTGGGATTTGATTGATTGATTTATTGGCACGTGTACTGAACCTTTGTTTACGAGCAGTACAGGCAGATCATAGTAAGCGAGGAGGTACAGATCGTAAAGACTGAGCCAGAGCCATACAGGTTACATTGCACAGGGTGTGCGCTAGGTGGGATCAACATTATTTGAGGCTAGACAATCCATTCATCAGTCTAATAATGGTCAGCAAGAAGCTGTCTCTGAACCTGCTGCTGCATTTGTTCAGGCTTCTCTATCTTCTGCCTGATGGGATGCAGTGGGTCTTTGATGATGCTGTCAGCCTTTCTGCAGCCGCAAGCCATCTAAATAGAGTCCATGGATGGAAGGTTGGCTTCCGTGATGGTCTGGGCTGTGCGCACCACCTTCTGTAGTTTCTTATGGTCCTGGTCAGAGCTAAATGAGATATCTCCCAGTTGTGATGTGTGATTAACCCAGAGTTGTTCATTTAGCTACAGCTGACACCTTGTATTTGTACTGTCTGCTGCTTTGCATGATGGATGCCCTGTTCAGTGGCTGTACAGACCAGGAGGGGGAAGATCTTGATATCACAAGTGGACTCTGTTTCTTAAAGGCAGCCGGCCCCGTTTGAGTGGGAGACACAAGGTGAGTCCAGTATGAATTGCATCTGAACTTACACTTTGTTGAAAAGCCAAACGTGCAAGTGAGCATGCACCTCGTACACAAGCAGCCTCGATCACAGAATTGTTGCAGGACAGAAGAAGGCCATTGGGCCCATCATGTCTGCTCTCTGTGTGAGCTTCATGTGTTAATGCCAATTTCCTGCCCTTTCCAAATAACCTTGCATCTTCTTTCTGTTTAAATAATTATCTAATGACCTCTTAAATTGCCCTGAATGAACCTGCTTCCACTACAGTCTGAGGCACTGCATTCCAGACCCAGACCACTCACTGCGTGAAAATGCTTCCTCTCACATCGCATTTACTTCTTTTACAAATCACTTTAAAACTGTGTCCTTCCATTCTTGATCTGTTTTTGAATAGGATCAGTGTCTCCCTTTTTATGTTGACAGGACCACCCAGGATTTTGAAAACTTCAATCAAAAATCCACTTAGCTTCTCCTCTCCAGAGCAGATAGTCCCAACTCATTGCCAACCATTCTATCTTTCTAACTCATCCTGGAACTATTCCCATCAGCCTCTTCTGCACTTTCTCCAATGCATGCACCTCCTTCCTAAAATGTGGTCCCAGAACTGCAGGCAATACTCCAGAGAAGGTTTAACCAGTACATTATACAACTCCATCACAACCTCTCTGTTCTTGTACTTTGTCACTATTGATAAAGTATAGAACACTTGAGGCAGAGAAAAGGGAAATAGTTATCTTCAATAAAAACAGAAATTGTTTTGGAGAAACTCAGCAAGTCTGGCAGCAGCTGTGGAGAGAGAAACAGAGTTAACATTTTGAGTCCAATATGACTCTTCTTTGAACTGACTATATTGTTGTCTCACCAGTGCCCTGTATAGCTGAAGCATTAATTCCCTACTTTTCTATTCAGTTCCCCTTGCGATCAATTATGACATTCTACTAGTTTTCCTAATTACTTGCTGTACCTGCATTCTAAATTTTTGTGATTTGTGCACGAGGACGCCCAGCAATGATCCCTTGAAGCTACGGGTCTGCTCACATGACATTCTGCAAACAGCGATTTGCATACTGATGTGAATCATGGTATTGACTCCTGGTTCCAGCAGTTTCTGCCTGGCACAGAACTCAGAGGCTGGCACAGAAGAGAAAACATTAGTGGTGATACCCAGATCTCTGTAGCTGAGAGCTCTGCAATACCTTAGCATTTGGATAATATGCGTCTTTCATTTGTCCTGCCAAAATGGGCAATTTCAAATTTACTCCATTATACTCTTTGTTACATATTTGCTCACTCACTAAACCTGGTGGCATCTTTTTGCAATCTCTTCTTCACAACGTGGTTTCCCATCTCTCCTCCTTATCTGTCCACAGATGCTGTCAGACCTGCTGAGTTTCTCCAGCACTTTGTGTTCTTATTTCTGATCTCTAGCATCTACTGTACTTTTATAAATTCATACAGCTCAGAAACAGACCCTTTGGTCCAACCCGTCCATGATGAACATAATCCCAAACCAAACTAGTCCCACCTGCCTGCTCATGGTCCATATTTGTCCAAACCTTTTCTATTCATGTAATTATCCAAAAGTCTTTTCAATGTTGTAAGTGTGCCCACTTTCACTACTTCCTCACGAAGTGCATTCCACGTGAGAACCACCCTCTGTAAAAAATTTGCCTCATATGTATTTTTTAAATCTCTCTCCTCTCACCTTAAAAATGTGCCCCCTAGTCTTGAAATCCCCCATCCAGGCAAAAGACACCTACCATTAACTCTATCTATACCCCTCATGATTATATCAACTACTATAAGGTCACTTCTCAACCTCCTATGATCCGGTGAAAAAAGTCCCAGCCTATCCAGCCTTTCTTTATAAGTCAAACCTTCCATACCTTGCAACATCCTGATAAATCTCTTTTGAACTCTCTCCAGCTTAATATTTACCTTCCTTTAACTGGGGGACCAGAACTGGACACAGTATTCCAGAAGAGGCTTCACCAATGTCCTGTACGTCATCATGACTTCCCAACTCCTATAATCAAAGGACTAAGCAATGAAGGCAAGTGTGTTATATGCCTTTTTGACCACCCTGTCTATATGTGATGTGAACTGCAAAGAATTATGTACCTGCACCCCTAGATACCTCTGCTCTACAACAATACCAAAAGCACTACCATTAATTGTATATGTCCTACCCCTGTTTGTTGTACCAAAATGCAATACCTCATATATATCCAGATTAAACTCCATCTGCCATTTTTCAGCCTATTGACCCATTTGATCAAGATCCCTTTGTAATCTTAGATAAGCTTCTTCACTGTCTACAATGCCACCAATTTTGGTGTCATCTACAAACTTACTAACCATGCCTTCTATATTCTCATCCAAATCATTTCTATAAATAACAAGCAAAAAGAGAACCCAGTGGAACACCTGCTGGTGACAGGTCTCCAGTCCGAAAAGCAACCCTCCACCATTACCCTCTGTCTCCTGCCGTTAAGCCAATTATGTATCCAATTGGCAAGCTCACCCTGAATCCCATGTGACCTACTTTACTAATTAGTCAACCACGTGGAACCTTGTTGAAGGCTTTACTAAGGTCCAAGTAAACAGCGTCTACTGCTCTGCCCTCATCTATCCTTTTGGTAACTTCCTCAAAAAAACTCAATTATTTGAAGTACATTCTTTAAATGCAGGAAGGCAGGAGGGTCTTGTGCAGATTGGTCTCAAGATAACAATAGATAAATATATACCTTGCAGGATATAATTAGTATATTATCATAAAATGTAAATGGAAGATACGCTAAAACAGATTGAAAGAATCTGATATGAAAAATATAAAGAGCTTTCTCAGATCAGTGATTCATTTATTGGAAAGAATAAACTGGCAGGGGGTTTGAATAATTACCTTACAGAGTGTGGCAGTGAGACTGTTTGGTGCAATTTCGAGCTGAAAATTCAAAGATATTTATAGACCAAAACTAGACTTTTAACTCTCTTCACGCATTAAAGTTTAAGGTGGTTGCTTCGATACTTTAGTTATTACATCATTGATGATTATTTTGTACTTTTCAATTTTCTCCATCATTACATTCCTCTCCTGAAAAAGTTAATGACTTAGTTGTTCTCCTTGACCAACTGGACATTATTCGTGTATAAACCTTGAAAACGGATTTTGGTAGAATATATAATTATGCAGGGTATTTATCCAGGAACTACATGGGCTCTGAGCTGATGACTGTGAGTTTGTCTTCACCATTGATCTTTTATTCTACTGACAACTGACAAACTCTTGCCCCAGTTGAGGCCATTAATTGACTGCTTAAAGGCCACTTCACAGCCTGCTTCAAATCTGAGGTGAGGTGAGGGGCAGTTAAGCCTATTTGTGTCTTGGATGTGATGGGGGTGGTACCTCCCTCACTAGATGACTTCACCCTCATTGTGGGCGGAAGTGGGGGAGTAGCTCAATGATGAGGGTTTTGTTTCATGTACATGGGGCAGACTTTCATGAATGGCCATTGAAAGAGGGAGTAGGGCACATTTCGAGGGGAGTTGACGGACTCAATTGTGACCCGGCCCTCACTGGGGCAGAAAGCCCACCTCGGAGAGCTATTGGTCAATTAGATAAGCTGGCCGCTCTGCTGGAGGGCCAGCAGTAGTGGTGGCCATTACTGGAACTGCAAGCAAGTGTCTGGATACAAGGAAATTCTGGAGGCCATTCACCAGAGATAGAATAAAAATCTCTGGCTGGTGAAGAAAGAGGGAAGTGGGAGTGTTGATGGAGAGGAGGCACCTTACTTTCTAGAAAGGAGTCAGTCACACTGCTTCTGACCTCCTCAGAACTGAAGCAGGGTGGCAAAGGGCCCTTCTGCAGAAGTGTGGGGGAGGTTGTCAGAGGAAGAGGAGGCTGATGATGAAGTTGCACTTGCAGTCACCAGCTCAGAAACAGAGACAGTACAGGAGACCTGGATCAAAGAGGGAATTGCCCATTCGCCAATTCCAATAAAACATCTCAAGAGCATCCTGATTTCCTATAGATCAGGTATGTATCAACTTGTCTCCACCTTGAACTTGAAAGATGCTAGTACGGTGCCAGAGAGCTCAGAGATGGAGATTGCTCTGATTCAGACACCTGGATAAATGGGGGCTCTTCTTATTAGAATTAGAATTAGCTTTATTGTTACATGTACTCAAATGAGGAAAGTGAAAAGTTTACAAGTTGACGCTTAAGGCACCTCTTGGGTACCAGGCATCTAGGTACAGATTCTTCAGTTTAAGTTCTTAGGGAAAAAATAATTAGAAAAATAAAGAAATAGAAAAGTCCAGCATCCCAGACCACAGGAACGAATTAGAAAATAAAGCTATAAAAAGTTCAGAACAACAGTCCTTCCTACCCAGTCCCATCGTGGAGAGGTACCAGGTACACAAGAGCCAGCTCAGAGGGAAAAGGGTACATGTGGGTGCTAGGTCAGTTCAGACTGGTGCCATGCACTCGCTCTGGTGCAGAGGACTCTGACAGCACTTTGTGGTCAGATTACAGAAAGAGGCTGAGAGGCACAAGTCATAAATTACTGCGAAAACAGCCAGAACGCTGGCTCGAAATGGCAAGCAGTATGATCAGGTGGATTTAATTGGGTCTAATTTTATTAATGTCATTTTTATTTAATCCATCTACTACACTCTCATCGCTTAATTTTAATGTAAACTTAACGAGTGCATGGCACCAGTCTGAACTGACCTAGCATCCACATGTACCCTTTTCCCTCTGAGCTGGCTCTTGTGTACCTGGTGCCTCTCCACGATGGGACTGGGTAGGAAGGACTGTTGTTCTGAACTTCTTATATCTTTATTTTCTAATTCATTCCTGTGGTCTGGGATGCTGGAATTTTCTATTTCTTTATTTATGTCCTTGTGTCTTGTTTATTAATTTTAACTTCCAGCTCAGTAGCTCCTTAATCTATTAAATAACTAAGTGTTAAAGGAAGAATAAATAATTCAGTTTCTGATCTTATGTTAATTACCAATTGCCTTTTTCCCCTCTGCACTTATATTTCTTTCAGCACCTGTATCTCCCTCTGTATTGTTTTCTGTACCCATATCCTCCTCCATTCATCTATCCCACCTTGTCCCCATTTCCCCCACTGTGCCTGTGTCCTCCTGTGTACCTATATTTCTCCTCTGTGTTTGTATTGCTCTTCTGTATGTGTATTCTTCCTCTATCGGTTTCCCCCTTTGCACCAGTATTGTCCTCTGTGCCTATGTCTTCCTCTGTACTTGTATTCTCCAGTGCATCTGTATCTCCTGCTATACCTGTATCTTCCTGTATACCTGTATCCTCCTTAGTACTTGTGCCTTCCTCTATTCTTGTGTCCTCCTCTGTACTTGTATTTCTCCTCTGTACTTGTGTTCCTCTTCTATATTTGAATCCTCCACTGCACAATACATCATTCTGTTACGAGTTCACTCTGTCTGCTTTCGCAGATATTAATCTGGACATATTGTTTTGATCTAAACCAGTTTCAATTGGTCAGCCATTCACACAAACACACACTGTCTAAATGACACCCAGGAGTAGGGTTGGGAGTGGGTGGGGTTGGGTTTGGCTAATTCAGTTTGGAATGCCTATCTCTGGAATGATCTGGATAGAGACTGGAACATGCTACATAGAAACTAATCTGGCAGACAACAGGGAACAGGCAGTGACCATTAAGTTAGAACTACTAAATGGTAAATTTAAAGACTGACCTCAGAAGATTCTTCTTTGCACAGAATGTTGATAGACAAACAAGGATGAGCTGATCGGTTCTCTCGTCTGCAAGGATTCTGATCTTTCAAGAGCTCTCCGGAACTGAAAGAACGTATTTCGAAGGCAGTTAGCTGTCAGCTTGTTTAGATATGAGTCATTCTGACCAACGTCACAAATGTATCCTGTATCATTTCTTGTTTGCTTTTATCAACTGGAGTTGATAAAAGTTTTTCCTCAATTTACACTGGCGTTGCTGCCTGCGACATTTCTTGCCCAACCTTGGTTTCCCTTGAGAAGGTGATGGTGAGCTGCCTTGTTGAACTGCTGCAGTCCTCCTACTGTAGGTAGACCCACAATGCTATTAGGGAGGGTGTTCCAGGATTTTGATCCAGAGACAGTGAAGGAACAGTGATTTATTTCCAAGTCATGATGATGAGTGGCTTGGAGGGGAAATTGCAGGAGGTGGTGTTCCCATTTTCACCTTGACCTTGACCTCCTAGGTGGTAGTGATTTTGGGATTAGAAGATGTTGTCTAAGGATCTCTAGTGAATTTCTGCAGTGCAACTTGTAGATGGTACACAATATAAACTTTGGTGGTGGACCGAGTGGAGGCTTGTGGATGTAGTGCCAGTCAAGCAGGCTGCTTTGTCCTGGACGGTGTCAAGTTTCTTGAATGTTGTTGGAGCTGCACCCATCCAGGCCAAGTTGGAGTATACCATCGCACTCCTGACTTGTGCCTTGTAAATGATGGACAGGTTTGGGAGTCAGAGGATTCCCTACCTCTGATCTGCTGTTGTAGCCACTGTGTTTATGTGGCAAGTTCAGTTCAGTTTATTATCAAAAGTGACACCCAGGATGTTGAAGCAGGGGATTAAGTGATGATAACATCATTAAATACCAAGTAGAAATTATTTGACTGCCTCCGACTGGAGATGGTCATTGCCTGGTACTTGTGTGGCATGAATGTAACTTGCCACTTGTCAGCTCAAACTTGGATATTGTCCAAATCTTGTTACATTTGAACATGGACTGCTTCAGTATCTGAAGAGTCTCAAATGGTGCTGAACATTGCGCAATCATCGAAAAACACCTCCACTTCTGAGATATGATGGAGGGAAGGATATTGATGAAGGAGGTTTGGCCTAGAACATTACCCAGAGGAAGTCCTGCAGAGATGCTCATTACCTTGACCTCAAACAACCACAACCGTCTTCCTATGTGCCAGGTATGACTCCAACAGCAGAGAATTTTTCCTCTGATTCCCACTGACTCCACTTTAGCTAGAGGTCTTTGGTGTCACAAACGTTTAAATATGGCCTTGATGTCAAAGACTGTTACACTCACCTCACCTCTGGAATTCAGCTCTTTTGTCCATGTTTGAACCAAGGCTGTAATGAGATCAGGAGCTGAGTGGCCCTGGCAGAACCCAAACTGGGCATCACTGAGCAGGTTATTGCTGAGCAGGTGCTGCTTGATAGCACTGTTAATGACACCTTCCATCACTTCAGTGATGATCGAGAGGAGACTGATGGAGTGGTAATTGGTCGGGTTGGATTTGTCCTGCTTTTTGTGTGCAGGACATATCTGGTCAATTTTCCACATTGTTGGGCAGATACCAGTGTTGTATATTGTATTGAAAGAGTCAGTTTTAGGTACTACAAATTCTGGATCACAAGACTTCAGTACTTTTGCTAGAATGTTGTCAGGGACTATTGTTATTGCACTATCCAGTGCCTCCAACCATTTCTTGATATCACGTGGAGTGAATCGAATTGGCTGAAGGCTGGTATCTGTGATGCAGAGGCCCAGTGGTGGAGGCCAAGATAGATCATCCACTTGGCACTTCTAGATTATTGTGGCTGCTTCAGCCTTATCTTTTGCACTGATGTGATGGGCTGCCCCATCATTAATCTGTGCTCTGTCCCCACATTGTAAAGCAGATTGCTTACCATGACTTCTGTAAGGTTATTTGTCACTGCCTCCACTTCCACCTCCCTCTATCTATTGTTGAAATCCTCTCACAAGTTTCCATTACCTCAAGATTATATGATTACAATGGTTTCCTTGGCTAGCCTCCATTAAACAGAGCTCATCCAAAACTCTGCTGCACTAGTTTAAACATCTTTAAGTCACACTCACTGATTATCCCTGGACTCACTGCACTACATGACTCCTTTCGACCAGTATCTAAGTTTAAAATGTCTCTAACTCATGTTCAAATACCTCTTGTGATCTTGCCCTCCCTCAGTTCTGTATCATATTACATCTGTCCAAACATCCGAGAACTTCATTCCTCCAACATGCCCTTGAGTCCATCCAACACTCCCTTGGCCACACAGTTGATGAATGAGCCTTCAGTTGGTTTGGCCCAAAGCTCAGGAACCTCCTCCTTTAGCTTTTCTGCATCTTCACCTACTTCCATAAAACACTCTTGTACCAGTCTCTCTGACCAAACTTAGGTCACATGTCCTGATGTCTTCTTCATTGGTTTGGTGCCAGCCTTTGATTCCTTCCCCTCCTGTTAGAGCACTAAGGGTCATTTTCTTATACTATGGCTCTATATAAAGGTATGTTTATTATTGTTGTTATTGATGAGATAATGTAAAAGTAATTCAAAACCTAAGAAGTAATATTATGATGTGTAGATGTATAAGGAGCAATTCAATTAAGTATAATTAATGAGAAAACACACAACTATTAAGATAATGTCCAGCTTGATGAACCACCTAATTACTGAGATAGTGGTAAGTTAATGGTATCATGCATTTTGGAAAAAGGAACATGGTTAATAGGCTAATAGGAATTTTTATGAGACAGTGTATAGCTCAATGAAAAATGCAGTTAGTATGATAATAATTAATTCAATCAAATATCATGAAATAATATGCAATTATTTAGACAACAATTTAAGTGGTTATGATAATTGATAACATGCCTTTTATCAATAAATTAATGAGAATTTACAGTTATTGAGAATAATGAACAATTAATGAGACAATAAATTGTTAGCAAAATTTCACACAGTTCAGAAAATATCACAGAATGATATAACATTTAAGTAAAGTGACAACCGTAGGTTAATCTGCAGTTTAGTGAAATAAAGTGCATTTTAATGTTAGCATTGAAATAACAATGTAGCTCTGCTAAAGTACAGCACTGAAGCATCACTCTAAATTACCTCTTATAGTCTCTAGTTTGGGGTTTAAACCATTCTGACACCCTTTGAACCTATGTGTAAACATAGCACTACTGGGATTACCACATCCTTTAAAGTGCAAACTCCTCAACCTGCACGTTAATAGGGATTATAATTGTGGGTTAGGATTCAAAAAGGGCTATTAAACTAGTGTGTTACAAACAATAAAGGTAATTGAACAATAATGATTTTTAACACCTTATGTTGTTGTGACAAATGTAATTTATTTGAATTCATTGGGAACGTTTGCAAAAGTAATGTGGATTCTACTGTTCAGATATTTCTTATCTTAACTCTGTGTCAGATTGGGGTATGTGAAAGGCAATGAACTTCAAAAGCTTCTGCCGGGGTAGGTGACAAAATGCAAGGGGTTAATCTGTTTAAACAAAGTAAGTGTTTGAAAAGTGTTGAGCATCAAATGAAGACAAGTGTGGTTATGGTATGGTTCTGTATGTTTACTCACTGTGGAATCTGAGGCTTACTGATTTATATCAGCTCATCTAACCAAGCACTTGCTTATGATTATATATGCAAACAACATAAAAATCCAGCTCAGAGCCCCACTGCATAGCGCTGTTACACCCCAAATTCATGTTCTTATGAATGGATTGTTAGAAGACTAATCTAATACCTATATTTGAAGAGGATAGCAAATCAGAACCAGAGAATCATAAGCCTATTAGTTTAACCTCTGTTACTGGAACCTTGTTCAAAGGGGCAACTCAAGAACCACAGCATGGCATCTGGTAAAGAAAATCATCTCTCACCAACCAGCTAATTTTCTAAGGAGGAAACTAAGTTGGTGGATAAAGTTAACTCAACTATGTTTGGTCCTTCAGAAAGTGTTTGACAAGATACAAAGATAAAGTTCTGTTGAGAGAGAAGGACAGATCCTGGATAAGCTAGGGAATTGATTGAGTTCTTGTAAGTAGTCTGTTGTTA